AGGGCACTGAGCCTGCGGGTGCTGGGACTGATGGTATTGAGCCTGAGGGTACTGATCCTGGGGGTACTGAGACTTTGGGTGCTGACTCTGGGGGTGCTGAGACTTCGGGTGCTGACTCTGGGGGTGCTGCGAGTCCTTCTAGAGGTCGTGGAGCTGGAGGTACTGGAGCTACTAGGCCTGGAGGTACTACTGGAGGTACTAGAGGTACTACTGGTGCTGGAGGTACTGGAGCTGCTGCTGGTGCTGGAAGTGCTAGAGCTGGAGGTACTAGAGGTGCTTCTGGTACTGGAGGTGCTCGAGCTACCACTACTGGAGGTACTGGAGCTCGAAAGCCACCGCAGCCTGCTCTACTTGAGACGCTCTCGCCGCATGCGATTCGTGCGTGGGTCGTTCGGCGAGGCAGTCCTGGTGGTGGAGGGTACGGTCCTGCTGGTGCCGGAGCTACTAGTCCAGGAGGTGCTGGAGGTACTACTGGAGGTACTAGAGGTGCTGCTGGTGCTGGAGGTACTGGAGCTGCTAGGCCTGGAGGTACTACTGGAGGTACTAGAGGTGCTACTGGTGCTGGAGGTACTGGAGCTGCTAGGCCTGGAGGTGTTGGAGGTGCTGCTGGTGCTGGGGGTACTGGAGCTGCTGCTGGTGCTGGAGGTACTGGAGCTGCTAGTACTGGAGGTGCTGCCGGTGCTGGAGGTACTGGAGCTGGAGGTACTGGAGATGCTGGTGCTGGAGGTACTATTGTTACTGGAGGTGCTAGAGCTACTGGCACTGGAGGTGCTGGTGCTACTGGTGCTGGAGCTGCGGGAGTTGCTGACCCTGGAGGTGCTGGTGCTGCTGGTGCTGGAGGCGTTGGCGCTGGAGGTCCTGGAGGTGCTGGAGCTACTGGTCCCGGAGGTGCTTGTATTGGAGGTGCTGGAGCTGTCGGAGAAGGTGGTACTACTGGTGCTGGAGGCGCTAGAGCTGGAGCTGGAGGCACTGGAGGTGCTGGAGGTACTACTGGTGCTCGAGGTGCTGGCGCTGTCGGAGCTCGTGGTGCTGGTGCTACTAGTGTTGGAGGTGTTGCTGGGGGTACTAGAGGAGTTGCTCGTGTTGGAGGTACGGGAGCTACTGGTGCTCTTCGCCACCTTCTCAGTCTTCCGCCAGGTGCAACTGACTTCCCTGTGGCAGGTACTACTCCTCAGTTACTGTTTCCACCGGCGGACCAGTCACAGCCGCCGCTGCTACCGCACTCCCCACTGCCTGCTCCTGCTCCTTACACTGCGGTGTCAGAGTCCCTGACTGAGCGCCGAGAGCCTGAGACTCGTGCGTCCACCCCTGAGCGTCGAGAGCCTGAGTCTAGCTTTGACCTTGAGCCTGAGCCTAGAGCTGTTGTTCGTGCTCGTGTTCCTCGTGTTCGTCGTCCACGTGCTCTGGCTGTCCCCGGCACTCACGATATGACACTCCGTCCTTCCTCTGTTCCTCAGCGTGTTGTCCTACCGTTACCTCCTGCGTCCTCGTTGCCTGACATTGCTGACCCTCCGTCTGACCTTGCTCGTGCGTCCAGTTCGACTGTTACTCGCCTTCTTGCTACGATTGTGACGGACCCTACGTGCTGCGTCTGCCCTCGTAGCTGAGCTCGTTGTCTTTGCTGCTGTGTACCCCCTAGACTACCTTGCGAGTCTTGTCTCTGACCCTGTCCCTGCCTGTCCTCCGTCCGTCGGGGGTGAGACTGCTCTTGGCTGTACTGCCCTTGGCTGTGACGTTCTTGAGGACAGACAGAAGGAGCTGGAGTGCCTTGCTGCCGCTTCACCCCATCACGCGACCATGCTGCTTGCCCCTGAGGGAGACCCGGATGCACTTGACATCCCCACCCCGCGCTCCTACAGGGAGGCGATTTCGGGTTAGTACTCCTCTCATTGGCAGACAGCCATGGACGCAGAGATGGCTTCCTGGAAGTCCACAGGCACCTACGTCGACGAGGTTCCCCCACCTGGGGCGAACATCGTCATTGGCATGTGGATTTTCAGGGTGAAGCGGTCGCCGGGTTCTCCGCCTGCCTTCAAGGCACGTTACGTTGCTCGAGGCTTCAGTCAGCGTGAGGGGGTCGACTTCTTCCAGACCTTCTCCCCCACCCTGAAGATGACCACTCTTCGGGTGTTGCTACACATGGCAGCTCAGCGTAACTACGAGCTGCACTCCCTTGACTTTTCGACAGCTTTCTTGCAGGGTAGCCTTCACGAGGCCATCTGGTTGCGCCGTCCACAGGGCTTCACTGGGTCGTTTCCTGAGGGTACCTAGTGGAGCCTACGGCGACCAGTGTACGGCCTGCGTCCGGCGCCCCGCGAGTGGCACGACACACTGAGGATGACACTTGCGGCTCTTGGGTTTGCTCCTTTGACTGCGGACCCGTCGTTGTTTCTACGCACCGACACTTCCCGCCGTTCTACATCCTCGTGTACATTGACGACCTGGTTTTTGCTACTGCTGACACTGAGGCACTGGCCCTAGTGAAGGCGGAGCTGCAGGAGAGACACACCTGCACTGACCTGGGTGAGTTGCGGAGCTATCTTGGCTTGCAGATCACCCGGGATAGAGCACGGCGCACCATCACCCTGACTCAGTCACACATGGTGCACCAGGTCCTTCAGCGCTTCCCCTTCACGTACTCCTCGCCACAGCCCACTCCTCTGTCTACTGGCCACTCGCTCTCAACTCCACCTTCGGACGAGTCGGTAGAGCCGAGTGGTCCGTACCCAGAGCTTGTGGACTGCCTCATGTACCTGATGACGTGCACACGACCTGACCTTGCGTACCCCCTCAGCCTTCTGGCTCGCTATGTGGCACCTGGTAGACACCGAAAGGTGCACTTTGATGTTGCGAAGAGGGTACTGCGTTACTTGTGCAGCGCATCGGGCATGGGGCTCGTGCTTGGAGGACGGGGTTTGGTGGTCCTCACAGGACACTCTGACGCTTCTTGGGCCGACGACCAGGCGACTCAGCGTTCGTCACAGGGCTACACCTTCAGTCTTGGCGCTGGTTCTGTCTCGTGGAGGTCCACTCGTTCTTCTTCTGTGCTTGGTTCCAGCTGTGAGGCCGAGATCTACGCTGGGGCCATGGCTGCACAGGAGCTCCGCTGGCTGACCTACCTGCTGACCGACTTGGGGGAGCGGCCTCGTTCTCCTCCAGTTCTGTACGTCGACAACAAGGCAATGCTTGCCTTGTGTCGCGAGCAGAGACTGGAGCACCGAACGAAGCACATTGCTCTGCGCTACTTCCTTGCGCGCGAGCTGCAGCAGCGTGGTCAGTTGCGCCTTGCTTTCGTGGCCTCTCGGGCCAACATTGCTGATGTCTTCACCAAGGCCCTTGGGGCTGGTGATCATCAATGTTTCTGCACTGCTCTTAGGCTTGTGCCCACTCTGCCTCACCTGCTGGTTGCTTGACTTGCTCTTGTTGTACATTGCTATGAATCTTTATACCTGCATGTTTTCTCTTGCTAGGTTGTGATCAGTGTACTGCCTTGCTATTATATACCTCTGCATGTGAACTGGCCTTGTGGCCGCTTGCTTGTGCTCAGAATGCGTGGTGGCCTTGTGATCCACCCTGAGCTTTGCTTTGCTTTGCTTGTTCTCTTGCTTGACTGGTCTTGTGACCGTCTGTTGTGTTTGCTATCTCCCACTTAGCCTATGGGGGTGTGTCAAACTGTATGTTTGTGTTATCTCTAGTCTATAATGGGTTAGCCTACAAGGGGTACAACACTTTAGGGTTAGGTACTTGTACTCATGCATGCTACCTTGTCCACTCATTCCTGCCTGCTTATTCTAACACGGTGATCCTGGTCAAAGGTGAGGTGAGTGGACCTCTGGCCTTTTGGGCATGGGAAACTCGACCCATCGGACAGGGGTCATACCTTGCTCGTCATTTTTGCGGAATCACCCCCAGGACCATCTTCTTCTGCCTTCGATGCTCGTGGTCGTTCTCCTAGGCGTACTCTGAGACGGTAGTCATGCCCTTTTTTTTTCTAAGTGCCTAGACAGCAGGGCATTACTTCAGCTAAAGGGCACGGTTTCCGTGCATGTTTCCACTTCGTACCGAATACCAAGTAGCTATTTTGAATTGTTACCGCAGTGTATGTCTTGTTTTTTTATCAGTAAACCACATCCCCCGGCGATTTCACCTTCACCAACATTTCAGCGGAGTCGCAACCGTGGCTGCGCGTTTCCGGTTCGGGACTGTCTCGTGACCCCGATAGTCCTTCAGGACGGCCTTTTCCTTAGGTATTTATCAGTAATTTGACAGCATTCACTTATCCGCATTGCCAGGTACTTGTAGAGCAGTTTTCGTTGTGTTTTTATAGCCGCATTCGTTTGGCTTACCATCGAACGTCTGTGTCTAGGAAAACAACAGTTCATATTTCCCGTGCAAGAAGAATGGCACCTGAATTTCTGTCGGATTGCGCTTACAGAATATTAGCTTTACCTTCCAGTGGACTAACAAAATGAACATCTTTTTCGTGATTCCAGGATCTCGACATCTTGTCAGCAACACCACCTGCATCACCGTTCGAGGGTATTCTACCTGCTTGGTTGGCCGCCGTTTTCTGCTTCTACGCCATCTTCACTGCAGCTGTCAATTTCGTTGTCGGCCCAGGTTGTGACCTCTAGGGGTTGGGGAATGAAATTTATGTATCTGTAGTCTTTATAAAGAGATTATTGTACCAGAGCTCGAATGGCTTCTCTGCGGGGGACGTACAAATGTGACAATAAGCACTGTAACGCCACCTTCAGAACCCCCGTTGAGAAGGCCCTGCATGCTCGTTCGGGCAAGCATGAATTTGGTCCTCCTCCTGGTGTTTCATCAACTGACACCAGCACTGCAGAGTACAGGAACCAGATTATGGAGACAGGTCTTGCATTGGAGAGCCGCAGCTGGAAACGAAGGGTCGTGTAAGCAGACCTCTGCCACATCCTGACAGTGTGCAACCTAACGAAGACACAACGGGGTACGATTTCTCGCCACGGGCCAACGCAATGCAGGTGGATTTGGACTTCCGCATGTTCAAGTTCTGCAAAACTGCTGCGGGTGGTGCTGGACTTTCAAGAGAGGACACGAAAGAGCTCATTGACGTCGTGGTGCAGGCCGTTGAGAACCCGCAGAGAGTGAATCTGAGGTCCCTTGCGGATTTTGACCGTTACGAGAAGGCAAGAACAACGGAGGTAGATTTGTTGGAATTTGAGAAAATAGATTTGAGTAAACCGGGAGATTTGAAGGCAGTAAACATGTATGTGCGGCCATCAATGTCGTGTGTACGAGGATTGTACCAAAATCCTGCAAATGCGGATGGATTTGTGGTTCAGCCGGATCTTGAACGCCCACGTCGCCGTATAATCTACAAGGGGCCAGAAACAGGAACATGGTGGCGCTCTGTACAGCGGAAGCTTTGAAAAGAAGGGGTGGTTGCAGCCGTTATTATCTACTCCGACGAAACTACGCTTACGACCGATGGTGGTGTCGTGGGATGGCCCGTGTACATATTGCTCGCGAACATTTCATCGGCCAACCGTTGGAGATCGCGCGGCCACCGACTATGTGCTTTGTTGCCCGTAATCGACAATCAAACGTTCTCGAAGGCGGATGATGCGCGGAGGCGGCATGAGGTGTTTCACGGGGCACTGCGTCTCATACTGGAGGAGCAGAAGAAGATAGAGAAAACGTGAGTGTGTGTGGATTTGTGGTCGTGTTGAAGTTGTCCCTGCCTCTCCCTAGTAAACCGATTCCCAACTATTGTGGCGCATAGTCTGCGCCCTCCCCCTCCGCTCCCTGCTCTGCCCTTCTTCGCTATACCTCCCCCTCCGATATCTGGCCACCCATGCCCTTCCGTGCTCTGTCTTACTGTCTCTGCTCTCCCTGCTCTGACCTCCTCTGCTCTGCCATCCCATGCTCTGCCATCACTGTGTTCTACCCTCCCCTGCTCTGCCCTCCCCTGGTTTGCCTCCCGTGCGTTGCCCTCCCATGTGCTGCCCTCTCCTGCTCTGCCCCCGCCTGCCCCTGCCCTCCCGTGCTCTGTCTTATTGTGCTGTGCTCTCCATGCTATGCCCTCCCCTGCTCTGCCCTCCCCTGCTCTGCCCTCCCCTGCTCTGCCCTCCCCTGCTCTGCCCTCCCCTGCTCTGCCCTCCCCTGCTCTGCCCTCCCCTGCTCTGCCCTCCCCTCCTCTGCCCTCCCTGCTCTGCTCTCCCTACTCTGCCCTCCCTGCTCTGCCCTCCCACGCGCTGCCCTCCACTGCTGTGCCCTCCCATGGTCTGCCCTCCAGTGCTTTGCCCTCCCATGTGCTGCCCTCTCCTGCTCTGCCCCCGCCCTACTCTGCCCTCCCCTGCCCTCCCATCCTAAGTCTTTACGTTCTTTGTCCTCCCTGCTCTGCCCTCCCCTGCTCTGCCCTCCCGTGTGCTGCCCTCTCCTACTCTGCCCTCCCCTTCTCTGCCCTCCCCTTCTCTGCCCTCCCATGCGCTGCCCTCCCATGCGCTGCCCTCTCCTTCTCTGCCCTCCCATGCGCTGCCCTCCCCTGCTCTGCCCTCCCCTGATTTGCCTCCCGTGCATTGCCCTCCCATGTGCTGCCCTCTCCTGCTCTGCCCCCGCCCTACTTTAAAGTGCTATGTCTTTATGTGTTTTGTCCACCCTGCTCTGTCCTTCCCTGCGCTTCCCTCCCCGTGCTCTGTCCTCCCGTGTGCTGCCCTCTCCTACTCTACCCTCCCCTGCTCTGCCCTCCCCTGCTCTGCCCCCCCCTGCTCAGCCCTCCACTGCTCTGCCCTCCCCTGCTCTGCCCTCCCCTGCTCTGCCCTCCCCTGCTCTGCCCTCCCATGCGCTGCCCTCCCCTGCTCTGCCCTCCCCTGATTTGCCTCCCATGCGTTGCCCTCCCATGTGCTGCCCTCTCCTGCTCTGCCCCCGCCTTACTTTAAAGTGCTATGTCTTTATGTGTTTTGTCCACCCTGCTCTGTCCTTCCCTGCGCTTCCCTCCCCGTGCTCTGTCCTCCCATGTGCTGCCCTCTCCTACTCTACCCTCCCCTGCTCTGCCCTCCACTGCTCTGCCCTCCCTGCTCTGCCCTCCCCTGCTCTGCCCTCCCCTGCTCTGCCCTCCCCTGCTCTGCCCTCCACTGCTCTGCCCTCCCCTGATCTACCCTCCCGTGCTTTGCTCTCTCGTATGCTTCCCTATCTTGATCAGGCGCCCCACCCCTACTCTACCCTCCTTGCTCTCCCATCCCCTGCCCTCCCCTCCCCTGCCCTCCCGTGCTCTGTCTTAACACACCCTTTTGCGACATGTTTTTGGGGCAGGGGCGAGAGGATGAAGGATCCTTACGGGATCGATCGGTGGGTATTCCCGGTTAACTACGCCTACGTTGGCGACTACCCCGAACAGTGTAAGGTCGCAGAGACGAAAACCGGCATCAAAACTGCGCTCCCCTGTCTAAAGTGTACTGTGCCAAATGGCAAGCTCAATGACATGTCACTGACTTTGCAGTACAGAACCGAGGAGGGACATAAAAGAATTGTGAATGAAATAAACAGCGCGGCGTCGAAAACTAGATGGTCGGATTTGGAGATTGAGCATAGCACACATGGTGTCGAGTGCGCGTTTTGGGGGTTTCGTTTTAGGAATGAGGAGTTTGGGAATCCATATCGAGCTTTGATGGTGGATCTCATGCACATGAGTAGTCTAGGACTCTACAAGCACATCCTCGGATGTCTTAAACAGAAGCTGTCGAACGAGATACTGTCGAGAATGGACAGCGATCTAGCACAGATTACCGCCTACAGTCGACAATCTTTTTTTAGGATACCTGCGCGCACAGACGGTTACTTCAATGGTAACAGTACCTTCTATGCGTTCCAACATCAGGCAGTCATGCAAGTACTCCCCGTGCTTCTGATGCGGCAAAAGGTCAACGCAAAGATCGTGAAGACGGTGGAGTTGTTTTGTCAGTGGCACGCGAGTGCATGGCACCGCGCATATCATACGGAGGGCACGCTCACTGATCTCGACAATATGACTCGAAAGTGAGTTTTGCTACTCATTATTGTACATGGCGTCGCACTGTGATGGGTCATATTTGAACCAGTTTTGCATGTTGCCATGTTTGGGGCACTTCCATGTTTTGCCGTGTCTTTGTACGTGCAGACTTGTACCCCAGTTGATGGAACATTTCGGGGTGGAGTAGATCTCTGAGTTCAACATTCCAAAGGTGCACGCCATGATGCATGTGTCAGATGACATTCGTCGTGGGGGCGTTCCAGTGCATTACTGCACCGACCTCTACGAGCACATACACATAGCGCTCATTAAACGGCCCTATCGTGGGTCTAACAAGCGGAATGCGGAGGCGTCAATCACCCGCCGGTGCTTGACAACAAGGCTTGTCGAGGCTATGGCTGCCAACGATGTTGCTGTGGACGACACAGAAGCCCGGACGGTGGCAATGAAACGGGTAAGATCGTTTCAGTGCCCCGATTTTGTTGCACTCCCCTCCTTTGCTACTGGAAACCTGTACCAGCTCTCCACTCCTCTCGATCTCTGTCCTATACTGCTCAGCCGTCCCTTGTTTTGCCCTCCCCTACCCTGCACTCTCTTGCTAAACCATAAACCCCTGCTCTGCCCTCCTGTGATCTGCCCTCCCGTGTGCTGTCCTTACATGCGCTGCCCTCCCCTGCTCTGCCATCACGCTGCTCTCCCCTCCCGTGTGCTGCCCGTTCATCCTCTGCCCTTCACTTTTCTCCCCTCTGCTGCTTTTCTGTCCCATATGTAGCCCTCAAGTGTTCTGCCCTCCACTGCTATGGCCTCCCATGTTCTGCCCCCCAATGCTCTCCCCTCCCGTGTGCTGCCAGTTCATCCTCTGCCCTTCACTTTCCTCCCTCTGCTGCTTTGCCGTCCCATATGCAGCCCTCAAGTGTTCTGCCCTCCCTTGCTATGGCCTCCCGTGTTCTGCCCCCCAATGCTCTCCCCTCCCGTGTGCTGCCCGTTCATCCTCTGCCCTTCACTTTCCTCCCCTCTGCTGCTTTGCCGTCCCATATGCAGCCCTCAAGTGTTCTGCCCTCCCTTTCTATGGCCTCCCATGTTCTGCCCCCCAATGCTCTCCCCTCCCGTGTGCTGCCCGTTCATCCTCTGCCCTTCACTTTCCTCCCTCTGCTGCTTTGCCGTCCCATATGCAGCCCTCAAGTGTTCTGCCCTCCCTTGCTATGGCCTCCCATGTTCTGCCCCCCAATGCTCTCCCCTCCCGTGTGCTGCCCGTTCATCCTCTGCCCTTCACTTTCCTCCCTCTGCTGCTTTGCCGTCCCATATGCAGCCCTCAAGTGTTCTGCCCTCCCTTGCTATGGCCTCCCATGTTCTGCCCCCCAATGCTCTCCCCTCCCGTGTGCTGCCCGTTCATCCTCTGCCCTTCACTTTCCTCCCTCTGCTGCTTTGCCGTCCCATATGCAGCCCTCAAGTGTTCTGCCCTCCCTTGCTATGGCCTCCCATGTTCTGCCCCCCAATGCTCTCCCCTCCCGTGTGCTGCCCGTTCATCCTCTGCCCTTCACTTTCCTCCCTCTGCTGCTTTGCCGTCCCATATGCAGCCCTCAAGTGTTCTGCCCTCCAGTGCTTTGCCCTCCCGATTGCTGCCCCCCCAACCCCCACCCTCCCCTGTGTTGCCGTTCCGTATGCACTCCCGTGGTTGTTATATGATACAAGGGTTTTTTTTTTTTTTATGTGCTATGTCCTCCCGTGCACTGGTTTAACATGCTATCTCCTCCCATATTATGCCCTCCCTCATTCGCTTGCTTTTTACAGGCCTTGGAGACCGGATCCCCGGCAGTCACAGGGTCGTTCACAAAGGTGAACTACACCGACAAATGATCGGCGTTGTTGAAGTCTTACATCGACGCAATGCCTGGGGATTTTTCACTTCTCGACGCTACAATCAAATTCTACCAAGGGTTGCAAACTCACCCACCAAGAGCTCTGGTTGAATGGGAACCGGTGGTGGATGTTCACAAGGGAGTGGCGATTCCACCGGATGATGACTTCACACGTTTCAGCAAATATCTAGCATACGCACGTGCTACACCGAGTTATTATGGTGCGTCGTGGTTTTCAGACGTGGCCGTCGACGGAGTTGATGACGAGGGGGAGAAAATGGTGTGGCCAGCAAAACTCATGTTCATTTTCACGCTCCACCGTACGGTTACAACAACAAGGCGAAACAGGCAAACCAGCAAGACAGTAACAACTGAACAGCAGTATGCCGAACAAGTAGCGTTCGTACGCTATTACAGGTTGTTGCCTCCAAGCAAGTCCTCAGCGTTGAGGCTTATGGTATGATGGCCAGGGGGGAGGGGATACGGTGTAGTGCATGTGGAGAGCTTACTGCGTGTGTTGCATGTGGTTCCTTTTGTAGCAAGTGCGGATTCGTCTACCGAGCGGTTTATTTGGAACGAATTCAAGTGGTGATGTTCTTTCAGGGCATTGGGTTTTGTACATATGTGTATGTGTACATGTGTAAATGTGTAAATATGTATATATGTATATATGTATATATGTATATATGTGTATACCAAAGATTGAATAATGCTTCCAACATGTCACCATTGCTAGAAGCTGCTGCACGCGTAAAAACCCTAACCTGCCTCAAATGCTTTAGTTATACCGTACCGCCCCGGATAGTCGCGCCGCCTGATTTAAGGCGCCGGCGCTTCTATCTGGAGCCATGCGCTTATGGCCGGTCCTCAATTATAATCGCACCCCCTAGAATGCTTGTACTTCTTATAAGCGCATCCCTTCCACCCACGGGGTAATTTTTCCACTATTTTTTTTAATATAAACATTTTTACCTACACTAACACGATTTCTACACATGCCTCTCTACCAATAATCTCATTAAACTTTAAGATTTTACACCCCTAACGATGTCGAGGTCGACGAACTTCAGCTTCACTTCGTCCGTGAGATGACCGCGGTAAGAGTCCAGGACGACCATGGCACTCCTCGCCTGCCTGCCGAACCGAGGCCGGATGAAGGGCTTGACGCACTCCTCGAGCCAGCGCATGACGCCGTTGGCGTCCATCCAGGCGTTCGGATGCACCGCCATGACCACATCTGCAATATCACAGACAATCAAGAAGGCAACTCTGCACTAGCTACTGGCCTCCCTTCCGTACCCTAGCTTGGAAAACCTATCAGGGCCTTCATGGATTGAGCTGAAAACAGACTGGGGATCTGGAAATGGTGTCATGAGACTCCCCTATCAGTTTCATAGCTTTATGACAAGGTTTGGATAGCGGCGAGCACTAAAATGCGAAAGCAGGCAACTCTGCACTAGCTACTGGCCTCCCTTCCGTACCCTAGCTTGGAAAACCTATCAGGCCTTCATGGATTGAGCTGAAAACAGACTGGGGATCTGGAAATAGTGTCACGAGACTCCCCTATCAGTTTCATAGCTTTATGACATGGTTTGGGTAGCGGCGAGCACTAAAATGCGAAAGCAGGCAACTCTGCACTAGCTACTGGCCTCCCTTCCGTACCCTAGCTTGGAAATCCTATCCAGCCTTCATGGATTGAGCTGAAAACAGACTGGGGATCTGGAAATAGTGTCACGAGACTCCCCTATCAGTTTCATAGCTTTATGACAAGGTTTGGGTAGCGGCGAGCACTAAAATGCGAAAGCAGGCAACTCTGCACTAGCTACTGGCCTCCCTTCCGTACCCTAGCTTGGAAATCCTATCCAGCCTTCATGGATTGAGCTGAAAACAGACTGGGGATCTGGAAATAGTGTCACGAGACTCCCCTATCAGTTTCATAGCTTTATGACAAGGTTTGGGTAGCGGCGAGCACTAAAATGCGAAAGCAGGCAACTCTGCACTAGCTACTGGCCTCCCTTCCGTACCCTAGCTTGGAAATCCTATCCAGCCTTCATGGATTGAGCTGAAAACAGACTGGGGATCTGGAAATAGTGTCGCGAGACTCCCCTATCAGTTTCATAGCTTTATGACAAGGTTGGGGTAGCGGCGAGCACTAAAATGCGAAAGCAGGCAACTCTGCACTAGCTACTGGCCTCCCTTCCGTACCCTAGCTTGGAAATCCTATCCAGCCTTCATGGATTGAGCTGAAAACATACTGGGGATCTGGAAATAGTGTCACGAGACTCCCCTATCAGTTTCATAGCTTTATGACAAGGTTCGGGTAGCGGCGAGCACTAAAATGCGAAAGCAGGCGACTCTGCACAAGCTACTGGCCTCCCTTCCGTACCCTAGCTTGGAAAACCTCTCAGGCCTTCATGGATTGAGCTGAAAACAGAATGGGGATCTGGAAATAGTGTCACGAGACTCCTCTATCAGTTTCATAGCTTTATGACAAGGTTTGGGTAGCGGCGAGCACTAAAATGCGAAAGCAGGCAACTCTGCACTAGCTACTGGCCTCCCTTCCGTACCCTAGCTTGGAAATCCTATCCAGCCTTCATGGATTGAGCTGAAAACAGACTGGGGATCTGGAAATAGTGTCACGAGACTCCCCTATCAGTTTCATAGCTTTATGACAAGGTTCGGGTAGCGGCGAGCACTAAAATGCGAAAGCAGGCAACTCTGCACTAGCTACTGGCCTCCCTTCCGTACCCTAGCTTGGAAATCCTATCCAGACTTCATGGATTGAGCTGAAAACAGACTTGGGATCTGGAAGTAGTGTCACGAGACTCTCCTATCAGTTTCATAGCTTTATGACAAGGTTCGGGTAGCGGCGAGCACTAAAATGCAAAAGCAGGCAACTCTGCACTAGCTACTGGCCTCCCTTCCGTACCCTAGCTTGGAACCCCTATCAAGCCTTCATGGATTGAGCTGAAAACAGACTTGTAATCTGGAAATAGTGTCATGAGACTCCCCTATCAGTATCATAGCCTTATGACAAGGTTTGGGTAGCGGCGAGCACTAAAATGATAAAGCAGGCAACTCTTCACTCATGTTGATGCAGGCTTGTGAAACAACAGACTTTATTGTTGCAACCGGCGGCCACTATATGTCATAGACGCAGCGCATCATTTATATTTCCATAGGTAAACCACTTGAAAGGTACAGGTGTCCTTGATAGCCAGAGAATGAGTTGGTGTCAGATTATTATATATATATCTGTACAACTGCCTATAGATGTAGCTGTAGTGTAGCTATAGTGCATTGCTGTTGGTGGTGCACCTTTTGTTCACTATATGTTCTTCACATTCTATAGTGAAACCAACCCATTCTCGATTCTCCCTTGGCATAACTCATTCGACACCCGCTTGGCCTAGGCTTCTAAGCCTAGGCCCTCCTTAAACACAGTTACTAGTTAAGACACTATCGTAACATGGTATCGAGCGGTTCCTTCCTAAGGACCGAAATGCTTTCCATGGGCCCACCAATTTTCGCCATCTGCCATGGCGACCTATCATGCTGCTGGCGCGTTTGCTACTGCTAGTAGCGTGAAACGTGGAGCTGCTGGCGCGAAATCCGCTGCTGGCGCAATTTCTGCTGCTTACGCTGCACCCGTCGCGCTGCCCCCTGTCGCTGCGCCCGTCGCCCAGCCCGTCGGGTCGCTTCGTCGCGGCTCACTGGCGCGGCCCCTTCTTGTCACCCTCTGTCGCGGCTGTTCCCGTGTGCAGCGACAGTCGCTGTGGGGGCGGAGAGGTACGGGGGAAGGGCGTTGCGGGACCGCCAGCAGCGCCTACCAGCGCCAACGCCTGCGACACCCAAGACCGCCAGTGATAGCGCCAGCAATGCTCCCCGCTTGCAGCCCGTTCGCGAAAACCCGTACACACACGTTGCCCGCGCGCTGCACCTCCCGCCCGCCCATTAGACTCGTCGCTGAAGCCCCGTCCCGCTTTTCATGACTCACGGCAACCCCCCCCCCCGTTCAGGAAACCCGTCCCGCCCAGCGCGCATCACCCACCGCGGACCCGCTAGCAGTCGTACCAGCAGACCCGCGAGCCCGCCAGCAAGCAAGCCGACTGACCCACCGTCGGACCCCTCCCCCTTCCCCCGTCGCCTTCCCTTCCGCGACTGCTGCTGTAGGGGGGGAGGAGGTGTGGATATGGTGGCCGCCGTGAGCCACTGCAGAACCACCCTCTGCCCCGACCCTCCCCTCCCGCGGCTGCTGCTGGACGGGGGAGGTGGCGGGGACGGGGGGTGGGGGGAAGGGCTGGCCGCTTTGAGACCGACTTTGCAGGGACTACCGTGGGTGGGGACGGGTCTGGAGGAAGGAAGGGGGGAAGGGAGTGTGGTTCCAGGGGGCGGCTGAAATGGGGGTGAGGTTTAAGGGGGATGGTTGATTGGGGGTGGGGATGTGGGGGTTAGTAAGAGGGGACGCCGCGGCCACCCCCCCACCTCCTCTCCTCATCCCTCACTCACCCCCCCCTTCGTAAAAGGGGGTTAGTAAGAGGGGACGCCGCGGCCACCCCCCCACCTCCTCTCGTCATCCCTCATTCTCTCACCTCCTCCTTGGTACTTCTCTCCTCTCCTCTCCTCTCTCCCTCTCGCCTCCTCCACCTCCCTTACCTCTCTGACGTCTTCCATTGCGCCAGCTATACCCATTCAGGGGGTGTTTCCTGCACTTGGTTCCTGCTTCAGGCAGTTAGGGGGTGTGTCAGATTATATATTATATATATATCTGTACAACTGTCTGTAGCTGTAGCTGTAGTGTAGTTATAGTGCATTGCTGTTGGTGGTGCACCTTTTGTTCACTATATGTTCTTCACATTCTATAGTGAAACCAACCCATTCTTGATTCTCCCTTGGCATAACTCATTCGACACCCGCTTGGCCTAGGCTTCTAAGCCTAGGCCCTCCTTAAACCCGGTTACTAGTTAAGACACTATCGTAACAGTTGGCAAGTGTTAGAAGCTACAGTGGTGCAGCTTGACATGTTGGCGTTTGAGTAATTCTGCCTCTTGTTTTTTTCCAGTGTAGAACAGTAGCTGAGGTCTAGAGGGAATGGTAGCGCATGTCAAATGATGATTCGGACCACAAACATAATGGTTATGAGCCGCAAAAGGTGGCTCTACTATGCGTGCATAGAGACCCCTAAATCATCTCAAATCGGGTTCATTGCTATAATAACAGGTGTATTATGGTGAAGCATAGGTAATTCTAACGTTTCAAGATCCCACTAAACCCATCCTATAAATTAGCCGCACATACCCAAAACTGTCGTTCTAAATAATGGTATATATATGAGAGACATTGCTCAATGAAATTTATATTTGCATACCATTTCGAACATCACAACTATTCTGCTTATTACCCACGACATTTGCACGCGACCTTCAATGTGGGACAGTGGCACGGGAACTGTTCATTCCGACATATCTTTTATCGAGTTTCGCCTATCAGTTACTTCTAACCAATGCGTGCAGGACGTTGCGTTGGTGTGATGTCATTACCCAATCACGGGGTGCCTCGTTGAACGATTCACGGAGGGTATCGTGACAACGCATCAGGTGCTTGATAGAGACAAAGAAAGCGCCACTCAAAAGTAATCCGTCCGTGACGAGGCTGCCAGCGAGGCCAGATATGCTGTCGCAACTCCCAACAAGGCTTCCGGAGCTGGTAAGCTTCACGCACCTGGACTAACACGTTGCACGTTCGCCAACTTCCCCTCTATCCCTCCCTCATCCACACTCCCCTCTCCCATGCCCTCTGTGGTTCTGTTCGTGCTCTGAATCTGAAGTTTGAAATTTCAAACTTGAAAATCCTCCCCGTTTCCCACCGCCATATCAGACTTCAAACCCCCGTTGTGTTCACCTTCGATTGTTCACCTTCGATTGTTCACCTTCGATGTAGTTGGTGCGGTACGCGTGAGTCGCACCGCCTGCTGGACAACCCCACCGTGTAGGTGAGAGCATGTTTTCCTTCACGACTAGATGCTTTAACTGAGTATATAACTCTGTCTTTCTGTGGTCTTACTATCATATCGCCACTCTTACAACCCCTAGTATTTATCGATTAGGTACTTCACGATGGTGCGTGTACGTGGAATTGTAGTCCCTGCGTCCATGCAGATGGCCTGTCCAGCCCGCCCTTCACTGCCGCGTAACAGCAAGTCTCATCACAAGTTTCTGGCTATGCTGAATAGTTTTGTGGTTAACAATTGTTTTGTACTCATGTTGTTGCAGAAGCCGATGGCGATCTCCCAGCCCCTGGTGTTACGGGCCGTCGTAGCAAATGAGGTACCAAGAGCACTCCGATGCAACGCGTGGCACCCGTGCGGCGTCAATTGTGCCTACTGCCGGCGCGCCCTCAAATGGTGCGAGCCCCTCGAACGTGGCTACCGCTGTCGTCGAGGCTGCTGCTGAACCGACAGTTCAAGATGAAGCCACCGGCGACGACACAGAAGAGACCGACGAACCTTTTGCTAACGTCTTGGCTAGGCAACAGGATGACGAAGAACCCGTGGGTGAGGAAGCCTGGCAGTTTTAGTCTGTTATTTTAATAATAATCGGCGTCGCACAACTAACCTAGAACTTTCCTCGTCCCTCAGGTAACACTGTGTACGACCGTACACTGAGGATGGCGGGCGTTAAGCCGTCGGGTGATGCGGGAGTTTTGCACGAGGAGGCACAAGAAAACCCCGTCAATGGCGACCTTAGGCTGAAGGCCTCCAAGCTTGAAGATGATGTGAAGGACATTAAGGAGGTGTGCAAGGCCAAGGACGGGCAGCTATCGAAAGCACTCGGCATCGCAAGCTCCCTTGCAGATGCTGTCATATTGGAGAAAATCGTCAAATTGGATTTTCAGGTGAGTGCTCTCATTTTTTTTTTTACATCACTGCGACAAAGTTATACTAACACTGGTTACCGGTTTGTGTTGGCAGATAATGATGTCGGATACTGTGGAGGAGCTTCTCTACGATCCTGAGCACATCACCTAGCATGACCGACCTCTCGAGAAGGCTTATTGGTAAGCTTCTGTTTTGTATACCGCTCTCATTTCTTCTTACGTTCCTCATTCTCCATTATTCCCCTATTGCAGTGCATGCAGGTTTCACGGAAGGAAGTGATGAAGCCGTTAGGCTGCTGTCCGTGATGAAGGACGAGGATATCATCAACAAAACTTAGCGGCGTTTCAACAATCGCGTCGGGAAGTATTACAACGGATGCAGGCAGTCCCTTAGGAAGCAGCCAACAAAGCTCCTGGTTGCTGTACGGGTGGGTAGTCGCATTCGGTATGACGAGCCTGACGATTTCGCAACCCGCTGCCACCTCTATGTGGAAGTTAATTCAACATGTAAGTAATTATATTACGAAATTGGTTTTCAACACCAGCACAAGGTGCCTAACTTGTGGCGTTGATTGTATTGCAGTGTTCAAGGGCATCTATTGGCATGTCCGTGACGGCCATCCATTTTCAAGCAGCGCCTTCATCGCCTGTGCACGACTCTTCGCCACTGATTACAAGCCAAATCGACCCATCGGCCTTAATGCTCCTCAGCTTCTCCTGATTCTGGCTGTTGTAAGTAAATCTTCTCCATGCAAACATTCAGAGTATATACTTGCATCTAACTCTGTACATGTTTGCAACGTTGGCAGGTTCGTTACAGGCTCCGTTATCCCACATCTAACAAGCTAAGGCTGGATCGTTCTGGTGACTCTGAAGCAACTAGCAGGCAAGCCCGCATTGTGCAGCGGTAGATTAACAGCCATGGGTCGCCAACGGGAAACTACATAGCTGTTGGCGCCTTGTGCTTGGCTGGTTGGGAAACCATCCCTCAGGATGTTTTGGATGTTGATCTCCTGGGGGACGAGGGTGGTGATGAGGAGCCTGAGGAGGAGGAGGTGGTTGACTGTGAGTCTAAGGATGGCCAGTAGGCATGTAGTTTCTAGGAGGATGGCTAGGCACATTAGCCACGTTGGTAACCTGAGTTGTCTAATTGCTAATTATGCATATTATGCAATGCACTGTTGCAATTTCCTTTTTTAACGAGCTATTTATTCCAGGTTCTAATTCGAATATTGGACCACTACTGTATGTATTTGTTGGAAAAAACCTGATTAATAAAAAAACCCTAGTGTATAGCGTTACTGTAACAAAGTAACGCTCGTAACTAAGCTGCGCATTACTTCACTGTAGTCCCAATGGTTATTGTGGAGTGTTTTCATCAGCTCGTACTATGTATGACTTCGGAGTGTACCAATCACCTCGCTACCCATAGTCGGGTTGCGCTTTGATGGAACATTACTTTCGAAACAGTCACAGCCGTTTGAAAGGCACAAATCGTGAAGACTCGAATTTGTATTCAAATCTGTATCTCGGAAGCGCTGCAATACACCCACCCCGCGCTTTGCACAGGGTCGAGCTGGAGTGAGAAGGGTACGAAACAGGTTGGGAATGTTGCCACCTGGCGTGTTCACATCGACCTGCGATACACACGCTGATATTGTTGAAATCAACACTCCCAATCGTGGCATCTCAAAACTTCGCCCCGCGATTGATGGATCATGCGCTCAGTGGTGTGAGCTTACGAAGGTTCGGAGGTAATGTGAGGATTTTGGAAGAGGAGTTGATTTCTTTCTATGTTGCACTCTGTCCAGTGTAAGGCACGTTCAAACATTTATGTTCAAGGGTATTAATGTTCAATAAGAGTTTGTAAACGTTGTTATTAATATACTGAAAAACGCATTGAAACCCTTGTTGTACAGTGTACAGCTCGGTTGAAATGTTGCGGTACCAGTCAGGGAATTCGCGCACAGTTGATGGGTACCACGCAGGGAAGATGGGTACCACGGAGGGAAGATGGGTACCACGAAGGGGCGCGCATGATCTGGCATTTTGATGGAAAGTCAAAGGCGGGACACCTGTAGTTGCCGATGAGTGGTACCTCCCGGCGAGCCAAGTAGGCGAACGAAGGAGTCGGAGTTGGATTACTATGCACGCAGCAGTAGTGTATTACTATAGCCTCGATCGACTTCGTTTCATCCCTTTTCCTTCCCCCAGGTCCACGGCGAGTTCTCCTCTATAGAATCGTACGTCTCATCTAGGTTTGATTGTCTCTTCCTGATACAGATGCCAGGTTCGAGCTGGCTGAAAGAATCGCTGTGTGAAATTGTAGTGAGGAGCTTTAGAGTCGCCTGAAATGATGTTTGAATGGACCAAAAATTCGCACTCGTGCGTTTGAGTCGCGTGGAATGTCGCTTGCTTGTCGCCCCCGTCATTCAGCCCCTTCCATCTCCGTTCCTTGCGGCGCTTCGCCCTAACTACCGTCCGTCATTATCGCGACAGACATGGTCTCGTTCCCGCTCCCGCCTCGTCTCTCCCCTTACTCCAGCACTCCCATTCCGCTGTTCCTCCACCCTCCGCCTTTCCGTGCTGCTACTTCCCCCGATTCTCACCGTTGCACCTCGGAAGGACAGCTGAGACGGACGGCTGAGATCTTCTCAGGCTGGCGGCGAAGGATCGCCAGTCAATGGATGCGATGGCGGCTCGCCTTCAGAGCTCCTTCGATGTGCGTCTTGCCATTCCATTCCATCCATGCACTGCTGGTTCAAGCTCCTTTCCCTGCCACCCTTCACCACCCATCCGCATCTTTCCGCACCCTGCCATCTCCCCTCCGATGTGCGTCTTGCCATTCCATTCCATCGCACTACTGGCGCATGCTCCTGTTTTTAGGCGCCTCAATTTTTTTGAGACGACTTTTGAGGCGCCTCAAAAACCTTCGATGTGCGTCTTGCCATTTCATCTCACTACTGGCGCGCGCTCCTTTTCCTGCCAACCTTCCGTTACCCTTCCGCCACTCGCCCGCCAACGTTCCGCCACCCTTCCAGCAATTCTCGCCCGTCCTCTCTATTTTCTCTCAAGTCTCGCTTTCAACCCGCTCTGGTCGTCACTCACTCGTCTCGCCCCCATTGCTCGCTTTTTTTTTTCTTTTTTTTTAATTGTATTTCCATCGCCACCTCTTCCTCTCATTCTCCTCTCCTCCCACTTCCGTCTGTTTTCCTCCCCCGCCTTCGTGTCGCCCTGCCTTTCTATCGCCCTGCCATCCTTCCCTTGTCAGCCATCCTTCCCTTGCCTGCCATCTTTCCCTTGTCTTCCATTCCATCCTCCCCTTGACTCCCATCCCCCATTGATTCCCATCCTCTCTTGTCTGATCAGGAGGTGCTCGCGTCTGCCTCCTTGCTCGTGGAGGCTGCTTCATCGGCTCCTCGTGGTGACACACAGTCAGGGTACACACGCTACTCTCCACACGCCCCCTCCCTCTCCTTCCCTCATCTCTCTTCCCATCTCTCTTCATCGGCTCCTCGTGGTGCCCACAGTCAGGGTACATACGCTGCTCTCCCACACACTCCTTCCCTCTCCTCTCCCCATCTCTCTCCCCATCTCTCTCCCCATCTCTCTCCCCATCTCTCTTCATCGGCTCCTCGTAGTGACGCACAGTCAGGGTACACACGCTACTCTCACACACACTCCTCGCCTTCTCCTCTCCCCATCTCTCTCCCACTTACCTCGGTCTTGCTCTCTCATCTCTCGTCCCATCTCTCGTCCCATCTCTCTTCCCATCTCTCGTCCCATCTCTCTTCCCATCTCTCTTCCCATCTCTCGTCCCATCTCTCTTCCCATCTCTCTTCCCATCTCTCTTCCTATCTCTCTTCCCATCTCTCTTCATCGGCTCCTCGTTATCACGCACAGTCAGGGTACACACATTACTCTCACACACACTCCCTCTCCCCACCTCTCTCTCCTCCGTTATGCTCTAACTCAGGCTTCTCACTCATAACCCTATGGCATTCGTAAAAGGTTCACCTTTTCTCCATTGAACTTTTGTTTTCCTCCTTTCCTTTTCATGTACTCCTCTTCTTCTCCCCATGAACCTATGTTCCCAATTCCAATCGTTACCCTCTTTGTAAGCAGCTCCAGTGCGCCGCACAGTGAGGTGGCGATAGCATCAGCGCTGGAGGTGTTTCAGAGCCGAGTGGACCTCTTTCAAGCCGCCTGCGACCGGGCTCAGCAGCAAGTGGTGAGTAACGAGGCTCAGCAGCAAGTGGTGAGTAACGAGGCTCAGCAGCAAGTGGTGAGTCGTGAGGCTCAGCAGCAAGTGGTGAGCAATTAGACATGGGCAATCAAGTCAAGTGGTGAGAGCATGGCAAGTGGTGAGAGCATGGCAAGTGGTGAGAGCATGGCAAGTGGTGAGAGCATGGCAAGTGGTGAGAGCATGGCAAGTGGTGAGAGCATGGCAAGTGGTAAGAGCATGGCAAGTGGTGAGAGCATGGCAAGTGGTGAGAGCATGGCAAGTGGTAAGAGCATGGCAAGTGGTGAGAGCATGGCAAGTGGTGAGTGGTGAGGCTCAGCAGCAAGTGGTGAGTGGTGAGGCATAGTCAATGTTTAATTCTATGGGAAAATCGGCTCAGCAGCATGTGGTGAGAGCACGGCAGCAAGTGGTGAGCAGCGAGGCGTGGTGAGCGCTGAGAGCATGGCAAGTGGTGAGAGCATGGCAAGTGGTGAGAGCATGGCAAGTGGTGAGAGCATGGCAAGTGGTGAGAGCATGGCAAGTGGTGAGAGCATGGCAAGTGGTGAGAGCATGGCAAGTGGTGAGAGCATGGCAAGTGGTGAGAGCATGGCAAGTGGTGAGAGCATGGCAATTGGTGAGAGCATGGCAATTGGTGAGAGCATGGCAAGGGGTGAGAGCATGGCAATTGGTGAGCAGCGAGGCATGGTGAGCGCTGAGAGCATGGTGAGTGGTGGTGAGAGCATGGCAATTGGTGAGAGCATGGCAATTGGTGAGAGCATGCCAATTGGTGAGAGCATGCCAATCAGTGAGAGCATGCCAATTGGTGAGAGCATGCCAATTAGTGAGAGCATGGCGAGTAGTGAGCGTGGCGAGTTGTGAGCATGGCGAGTTGTGAGCATGGCGAGTTGTGAGAGCATGGCGAGTGGTCAGCTGGGCATGTTGTTAGCACCTCCTTACCCTCTGCTCTCTCCAGATTGTGATCTAGCTTCCATCCTCAAACTAGACGACTTTTGAGTCGACTCAGAAGTCACCTCTGCTCTCTTCAGATTGTGGTCTAGCTTCCATTTTCAAACATGAAAACCTAGCTAACAAGGCCTGTGCTCCCCACTCGATAGTATCATGCTCCCCACTCGATAGTATCATGCTCCCCACTCGATAGTATCATGCTCCCCACTCGATAGTATCATGCTCCCCACTCGATAGTATCATGCTCCCCACTCGATAGTATCATGCTCCCCACTCGATAGTATCATGCTCCCCACTCGATAGTATCATGCTCCCCACTCGATAGTATCATGCTCCCTACTCGATAGTATCATGCTCCCTACTCGATAGTATCATGCTCTCCACTCCCTAGCGTCATGCTCAATCACTTTTCTCCTCGTGCGCAGGGCGCAGCAGCAGCAAGGTCAACAGCTGCTGTCAGAAAGCCTAAGCTGGATTTTTAAGAGCGATATCTTTTTCCCATTTTGTATCACTCCTTGCTCCCCGTTTGCAGTATGCAGCAAGTCACTGGATGCTGTCAGAAAGCCTCAGCTAGAGTCCTAAGAGCGATATCGTTTTCCCACTTTGTAACACCCCTCCCCTCTCCCTGCTTGCAGGACGCAGCAAGGCACCGGCTGCTGTCGGAAAGCCTGGTGGACGAAGCAAGAGGCGCAGTAATTGACACGCCTGCTGTGGGTGCAGCAGGAGGAGAGGAGGAGGCCCAGATGGTGCTGGGAGCAACTCGATTGGAGCAGATCAGCAAGGCAGTGAGAGTCATGGTGCAGGACCTGCAGCACGGGCATGCAGACAAGCACTGACTTGCTCCCTGCAGCAAGTGTTGTCCAAAAACAATCATTTGGAAATACAGGCGTTGGAAGAGCGATGGTGCTCGACCTGCAGCACGGGCATGCAGATAAGCACTGAGTTGGAGGGGTGTGCTTTTGGGAGAGTCAATGGTGCTCGACCTGCAGCAGCATTGGCATGCGGACAAGCGTTGAGTTGCAGCAAGTGTTTGCTTGGAAGGACAGGAGTTGGAACTGCCATGGTGCAGGTCCTGCAGCACGGGCACTCAGAGAAACACTGAGTTGGAACTTGGAAGGGCAAGGAAGGACGGAGAGAGGACCTGCAGCATGAGCAATCAGACTAACATGGAGCTGCTGCATACAATAGGCTTGTTTCCGAATCATAGTCAGAGCTGCTGACCCCTGGTGCAGTCCCTAAAGCACGGACGTAAAAAAAAGCTTCGAACAGGGACAAGAATTTGGAGAGTTCACAGATGGTGGACAGGTAAAAGAGCATCGAACATTTCTACATCCTGTGAGTAGTTATAGCACGGTTCTAGGATAGGGACGAGGCCAATATTTGCTGTCAAGCAACAGCGTGAGCTCCAATCGTTATGCGTTGGTAAGGTTCATTCGAGCCATAGGCATTGTTATGTGCGAGCCGTAGGCATTGCTTCTTGACGAGGGGTATGAACGAAAACCTGGCTACTAGTTCAGTAACAGATGCTTACAATGAAGGGCACCTATACACCAAAGCTCGAAACACGCTTAAAGCGCCGGGGGTGAAGTTGGTGGCATAGGCCCAGGCGTTGTTCACGGTGGGGTCAGCCAGGTGGTCGGACAGGTTCTCCAGGGGGCCCTTGCCGGTGACGATGGCCTGGACGAAGAAGCCGAACATCGACACCATGGCGAGGCGGCCGTTCTTGAGCTCCTTCACCTTCAGCTCAGCAAGGGCATCGGGGTCGTCAGCCAGACCCAGGGGGTCGAAGGCACCGCCGGGGTACAGGGGGTCCTCAACCTCTTGGAAGCCCTCGAGGCCACCCATGCGGTAGCTCTCGACGGCACCCATGAGGATGACCTGGGTGGCCCAGATGGCCAGGATGGACTGGGCGTGGATCAGGCTGGGGTTGCCGAGGTAGTCAAGGCCGCCCTCGAAGAAGATCTGGGCACCGGCCTTGAACCACACAGCCTCGCCGAACTCGACGCCGTTGTTGGTGAGGAGCTCGGGGGTGAGGCAGCCGAGGGCACCGAGCAGAGCCCAGCGAGCGTGGATCACCTGACGGTAAGTACAGCATGTAAGGAAAATTGAACTCCAGTCAGACATTGAATACAAATAGGAGTCTTGTTCACATTCGAAAAGCAGCATCGAAATAAAAAATTCATACATTGAATCACTGCAAGCAACGTACCTCCAGCTCACGGTTCTTGGCGAAGGTCTCGGGGTCAGCGGACAGACCCGCGGTGTCCCAGCCGTAATCGCCGGCATACTCGCCGGTGAGGTACGACGGGGGGGAGAAGGGGCCCAGGAACAGGTTGCGGTCGGGGCCGTAGAAGGCGCTGCTGGGAGCGGCCTTGGCAGTCTTCCTCGTGGTGACGCGGGCCTCGACATTGTTTGTCAAATGTTGAACATTGATATGATAGGCTATAGTGAGTTGCACTCTAGGGGGTACAGCTTCTAGGGTTGCTCATTTGTACCCCATTCGTTTCTATTCCAATCATTCCGTTGCTAACCACTCTTGAGATGGTATCACGAGAAGGACCATTCCTAGCCCGTTCCTAGCCTAGTGTTCACCCTCTGCGCCCTCCGCGCCTAGCTCGCGCCCTCCGCGCCCTCCGCGCTTAGCTCGCACCTCCGCACCCTTTGTGCCTCCGCGCCTAGCCCGCGCCCTGCCCCTAGCCCGCGCGACGCCCGTAGGCTCTGCCCCAGCCCGTCACGGCGCCCGTGCGCCCTGCCCCTAGCCAGCGCGTAGCCCGTAGGCGCTGCCCCGGCCCGTCGCGACGCCCGTGCGCCCTGCCCCTAGCCCGCGCGTAGCCCGTGCGCCCTGCCCGTTGCCCACGCGCGGCCCGTACGCCCTGCCCCTCGCCCTCCGCGCCTAGCCCGTCGCCCACGCCCCAGCCCTATACCGTCGCGCCCTCCCCCCGCCCTTTCCCACCGTCAAAACAGCCCTCCCTGCCCATTCCCACCGTCAAACCGCCCTCCCGCCCATTCCCACCGTCAAAACCGCCCTCCCGCCCGTTCCCACAGTCAAAACCACCCTCCCGCTCATTCCCACCGTCAGCATCACCCTAGCCCGCCCGATCCGCACCTACCCTCGGCACGTGGCCGGTTTCACCCCTCCTCCGCCCTGTTTCCCGGGCCCTCCCCATTCTCCCGGTCACTGGCCTTCACCTCAGCGGCTGGCAGCCGCTCATACCTCCGGTAGCTAGCCGTAGCGCCGAATCCTCCCTAGCTCCTAGTCGCTCCGTCCCTGGCGTCCCTAGCCGTTCTCCGCCTCACCTCGTTTGCTCCCTCCGCTATCGGTTCATTCGTAGCTTTCCACCTGGCGTCTCTCGCCCTCAGTAGCCGTCCTCCTCGTTCTTAACTCAGCCTCCGCCGTGCTCCAGCCGCCTCGAGCATGTCTTCCGTTATGGAGTCCCGTCGCCTCCGTTTCGACGCGGAGGGACGCCCGATAGAGTTCGGCACCTGGCAGCGCCAGACCATGCGCTTCCTCACCAGCCAGCGACAGGACGGCGCCACTCTGTGGGCTCACGCGTCTGGTGCCCTACAGGCCCCCCCGTCCCCCGCCGCCCTGCCGACCACTCCGGAGCCGACCCCTACGGCCCAGGCGGAGTACGACCGTCGGGTCCTGGCCAGGGACGTGTGGCTCTCGCGTGACGCTGCCGCCGCGCTCACACTGTCGGAGCTTCTCCCCCTGACTGAGGCCGCCCACTTTGACCAGGTGGAGACAGCCCAGGGGGTGTGGGATGCTATTGTTGCCCGCTACTCCACCCCCTCCTCTACCTCCCTCAGTCGCCTCCTCATGCCGTTTGTGTTTCCCGACCTAGGCTCGTTTGCGACTGTTTCCGACCTAGTGACTCACCTCCGCTCTCTTGACGGCAGTTTCCGTGCTGCCTGTACCGACGCACAGCTCCTTGTTGCTCCCCCCCCCCATGTGGCTCACTGTGCACTGGTTAGTCACCCGCCTCCCTGACCGCCTTGCCACTGCCCGCGACGCGCTTCTTCAGAAGCACCCCACTGAGCTCACTATAGACCTCCTTCAGACTGCTCTCGGGACCATCGAGAGCAGCCTCCTCACCGTTGCCTCCGCCACTGATGCGGTGGCCCCCCGTCTCTTTGCGGGGTGTGCCGCCCCTCAGCTTCCCACTTTCACCTCTACTCGCGCTTCTGCTGCTGTGTCGGTCTCTGAGGATACCGCTGCCGTTTCTGCCGCAGACTGGCAGAAACGGGGCAAGAGTGGCAAGAAGGGCGGGAAGGGGGGAAGTGGGGGCGGTGGAGGCGGCGGTGGAGGTGGCGGTGGAGGTGGGAGCGGCGGTGGTGGCGGAGGCGGCGGAGGCGGCGGCGGTGGTGCACCAGGGGGAGGGGGCCTTGGAGGAGGTGCTGGACAGACCGGCCCACCCAGCAGCAGCAGCCACAGCAGCACCAGCCACAGTAGGGACAGCAGCAGCATCAGGCACCGCAGCAGTTCCAGCAGTGGGGGCCCCCGCTACAGTGGGGTCCGCAGCAGCACTGGGGTCCCCCGCCGCAGTGGGGTCCAGGAGGCCCTGGGAGCACCAGCTGCAGCAGCAGCTCTTCCAGCTGGGCCCCTCGCCCCCCTCACCGTGACACTGGCCCCTGCACCCACTGGTGCCTCACCGGGCCGGGCAGCCCCTGTCTCTGTGGTCGCGACGACCACTCTGCCGCGCGGTGCTTCCGCCGCCTCGACGACCTCTACCGGGCTCGTTGGGGCCCTCTGGCGGTCACGCCTCACTGGTCTCGTCTGTTAGCCCGTAAGATTGATGTCTTTGATCTGTCCATGGACGATGCTCGTCAGCATGCTTTGTATGTTGATGCTGACTTTAGTGCTGATGGATCTGTGTGCTCGCGTGTTCGTAGTTTAGCCTGCTTGCCTCTTGCTAGTGTAGCCTTGTGCCTGTCTAGCTTAGGTGCCTGTGTTGCTGCTCTAGGTGCTTGTGTAGCGACTGGGTCAGGTGACCCTCCGGCTGAGGCCTCTCTGTCGTTCACGCTGGACTCGGGCGCGTCTCAGTGCTTCTTCCGCGACCACACGACCCTTACGCCACTCCTCACACCTGTGTCGGTGGCTCTAGCTGATCCTACCTCTGGACCAGCCGTTGCGCGTAGCTCCACCACCCTCCCGTGCCCTGTGGTCCCCTCTGGTGTCCTGCGCGGCCTCCACATCCCCTCGTTCACTCGGAACTTTGTGGGTGTTGGATACCTCCAGGACAGGGGATCACGGTTACCTTCGTGGGGGTTGGGCGGACTGCAGTCTGTACTGACGCTACCACAGGTGCTGTTCTGGCCACGTTCACCAGGGAGCCCCGCTCCGGTCTCTACGTTCTCCACACCAAGCGCTCCCCAGTCGCGTCCTCCCCTCAGGTCGTTGCGTCCCCTCCGGCCCAGGTCCCCAGTCCAGTTGCTGTGTCTAGCCAAGTAGTCGTGTCCAGTCCAGTCGCTGTGTCCAGTCCAGTCGCTGCGTCTTGCTCCTGTCGCTCTCTCGCCCACCGCACCGTCCTGTGGCACCACCGTCTTGGCCACCTGTCGATCCCTCGCCTTCGTGGCATGCTCAGTCAGGGACTAGTCGCAGGTCTCCCACGCACCTTCCCGTCGCTCCCTCTCTCGCTTGCCCCTCCTTGCTCTCCGTGCGTCGCCGGTCGCTTACGCGCCACTCCCCACTCCTCCTCCCTTCGTCCGGCCACCGCTCCCTTCGAGACTCTCCACTTGGACGTCAGGGGCCCTGCCCCGACGCAGGGGTCTGGGAGGGAGCGTTACTTTCTGGTGGTCGTCGACGACTTCTCCAGGTACACCACAGTGTTCCCTC